CTGATCCTGTAGCAACTCTGCTCTTATCTTACCCTTTCATCCTGCTCGCTCTCCTGTTTCAGTGCTTCCCAATCTAGGACCAAGGTACTGATAAAACTATCAGTTGTGGTTCCACCTTCCTTGATAATACATCTGCCGTTATATTCTCCTATCCTGGCTGGTACTGAGTCTTAAAATCATGTCCAAGCAATTTGGATAACCACTTCTGATGCTCCTCTGCCACCATCCTCGATTCCAATAAATACTTCAAGATTTTGTGATCTGTCCTAACAATAAATTGTTGCCCCAATAAATAGGGCCGCCACTTCTGGATGGCAAGTCAATAGCCATCAACTCACCCCCTTGTACACGAATTTTAACGTTGCCTTGGCCATGAACAATTGACTTAAATAAAGCAATAGGTCGCTAGTCCTGCATGAGAAAGCTATCAATTCATACTATGACACATTTGTCTCTATCACAAATGATCTATTGATGTCTGGAAGTGCTAGTATGGAACGTTGTTCATGACTTTGTTCAGATATTTGAAGGCTTGTATTGTTTCTTCCTCTCACTTGAAACTGTCTTTCTTTAGTTGCTCAATCAGCCGCCATGCTATCGTGCCATACTCACGAGTTTTTGATAGTACCTGATGAAGCCTAGTAATCTTCGCAACGCCTTCAAGCTCTTCGGTAACGGTCAGCCCAACATTTCCTCGATCTTGAACTGATCTGCTGCTACCTTTACCTTGGTCCCCACATGCTCTAGGTAGTTCATCTTTGACTATGCAAAGGAACATTTCTTTAAGTTGGCGTACAATTGGTGCTCTTTTAACATCTCCAATACTATCCCTAGGTGTCCCATGTGCTCTGCTGTTGTACGACTATAGATCAGGATATCATCAAAAAATACTAGTACAAATTTTTGGAGGTAGGGTTTAAAAACCCTGTTCTTAAGATACTGAAAGGTAGTCGGAGCATTAGTAAGGCCAAACGACTTCACTAACAACTCGTAGTGTCCTTCATGAGTCTTGAACGATGTCTTGTGCACATCAGTTAGATTCATCTTGATCTATAGTATCCCGACTTTGGATTAATTTTTGAGAAGATGACTGCTCTATAAATTTCTTCTAACAGCTCATCAATCACCAGAATTGAATACTTCGTCGAGTACAATTTTCTTTTTTATGGCTCTATAGTCCACCAAAAATTTTAAACTATCATCCATTTTTTTCACCAAAAGAACTGGACTGGAAAATGGGCTCACACCGGCCCTGATAATCTCTGATTTGAGCATCTCACAAATCTTCTTTGTCTCATCCTTTTGAATCTGAGTATACAGGTATGGTCTGACACTAAGATGAGGAACTCCTTCAAGGTGGCGAAATCCTCTAAGCTGTTGAAAGATGTCGGAAAATTACTGCAAAAATTGTTTTACCCCCTTAAGGAATTATATTGATTCGGGTGCCTGGATCTCTTATAAACTCTGCAAACCCTGCTCCCCGTATCGTCTTGACAATGGTTTGGATTTTGCATAGGCTAGCATCCTCTCTCAGCACCACCTTTTCCCCCTCTACTTGAATCTTCTTAGTCAAGGATTTTTAATCCACCTTTATCTCCCCAATCTTCTATAGCCACTTCATCCTTAGAGTCACATCACTGCTTCCTAAGTCCAAGTGAAAAAAATCATTCACCACCTGTAGACCCTGTAATATGAGCACTAATTCCTTGCCAATTTTCCTACTTTTCTCTATATTTCCTACTCCATCATGACACCGAAGCTTATAGTTTCTACCAGCTTCAACCCTAGTTGGTTCACAACTTGATTTGAGGTAAAATTATGAGTGGCCCCACTATCCACCAACACCATTACCGGCTGCTCCCTGATTTGTTCCCTCACCTTCATGGTGTGACTTGGAGTACTTCCAAGTGTAAGTGTTCCTACTCTATCGTTTCTTCCTCCTCCCTCTCACAAATTAAATTGACCTAGAGAGTGTGTTCCTTGCACCGATGGCCTGAGGCGTACTTCTCATCACATCGAAAATATAATCCCTTTTCTCTCTTATCCTGCACCTCTCTGCCTCTGTGAGGCTCTTGAAATTGACCCCGGGATGGGCCCCTGTATTCCTCTCATTCAGTGCCTTTTTCTGAAATGATACCATTTGGGTCTTTAATATTTTGGTTGTCGAAGTACTCTTATAGAATCCTCCAGTGGTGCCGCTTTTTCTAGTGTTCTTCATCTGTTTCTTGTCTTCAACCATTTGGGCGAGCTTCATTGTCTCTCTCAATCTTTGTGACCTCAATGGTCAAAGTGTTGCTCATATGTCAAGCTTCAGGCTCTTCATGAAGTTTTTCTCCTGTCTTGCTTTAGAAACTCCCCTTAGCCATCCCGAAAATAGCTCAAATGTTTCCCTTACTCCATGAAAGTTCCCTCTTAAGTCAAGGCATAGATTTGCTCGAGTGGTTTTCTTTCCTAATGACTTGGAAACGTTTCAATTAGCAATCCTTAAATTCCTCCTATGAACAGATCGAGTATCTCGCCTCGCTCCGCTAAAATCATGCTAAAGCTTTCCCTCCAATCATTACCCTACCACCTTGAGCTTCTCCTCCCCATTCAAGTCATTCACCGTGAAATATCGCTTCACCTAATACACCTACTCATGTGTGTCTTATCCCTCAATGATCGACATCTTCAACTTTCTAACCTAGCTTCATCACCCCAACTTTCTCTCCCTCTGGTGTTTCTCTTCATTTATTTAGGGTGAAACTCCCTCTTTCGATTATAGTCATTCCTTATTCTGTTTTAGTCCTTGGGGGAAGTTCTTGATTGTAAATGCTTTTCTCATGCTCTTCTAGTCTGATCTCTTTCGTTTTTTATTTCTCCAAGGATCCTCTTATAGGGCCCTTAGTTAAGATTTACAAATTAAGCCACTAGCGGAGTTTTGGGTTGCATCTCAATAATTGTTCTTATCATCTCCTCCACGCTCCCGAAATGGTATTCCATGGAAAAAAACCTTTCTTCTAGGGAGAAGAACCTTTCTTCTACGGGGGAGAACCATTCGTCTATCTCATCTTGATTTATCCTACTTCTCATTCTAATTTCTCTTCCAACGCATCCACTTTCTTTGCTATCATCTCTCGATGATCTTGCTCGGATACCAATTTGCCACTAAACGGAGCGAGCAAATTGCAATAGGTATGTGGGAAAATCCAAGATAGTGCTACATTGATTAAAATCTAAGGAAACAAACAAGATACAAGTGTTGATGTACAATTCAAGAGGTGGATCGTTTCTCCACAAACTCTAGACGCCGTTTGGAACACAAAGATAAGAAATTGCAGAAAATCAAGACATGAGACAAACCTTATCTAATGAATCCTAATAAATAATCCCCAACATCCATTCAAACTTTTTCCTCAAAACTCTCTTCAATTCCCCTCATCTTGTATGTGATTATGCTTGCGTGAGCCCCAACTGGAAGCTAGAATTGTCCTTAGCTGCTCCCAGAACTTCCACCCCTGTAGGCTGGACCAGTTGGCTTGGCCAGGCCAGCTAGTATTGCTGGATCTAGCTGATACAGAATCCAGACTGGTCTTCCTTGGACCAGCTCGTCTGCAGGAACGGATGTCTCGTCTGCAGGAGCAGGTGAGCTGGCGTATTAAGGTGAATCCAAGGCTCTTAATTGTTGTAGTGAGTGCCTAAGAATGTGTGGACTACCTTTAGGTGAATGGGGGAGTTTTGTGCAGTTTAAACTAGCTCCAGGCCTTTAACTTTAGGGCCATGACATGGGTGAGTCTTTAGATGGATTCTTTTAAAAGTTGTAAGGGAATGTTAAAGGATGTGATCTAATAGGGTCTTTTAGCAGTGGTTATCATTTGGCGTGATTTTGGTTTAATCGTGTCTTTGAAGGCTGGAAAGACATGGAAGGGTTAGAGATGTGTAAAAACCTAATCTAGAGTTTTTTGTTGGGATCCAAGGAGTTTGAGAGTGGTAGAAGGAGAATAGTCAAAGTAGGCCAAATGTGCCTTAGTTTTGACCAACCACCTGTAAGAGGCTAAGGGAATTTTTTCTTGAAGTACGAGGTAGGGAAAATCTGTAGAAGGAGGTTAGGGATGTTGGAGGATGGAGTAGAAGAGATGGGGAAGGAGATTAGTAATAGATTAGGAGGATACTTGGGTCTTTCGGCAAGAAGAACCGAAAAAGGTTCTTTACCAAGCACAACACCATAAAGATTTCAATCTTCACATCTTTTGTTCTCAACGTAAAAGCTAAATTTCATTACTCAATAAGTATTTAAAACAATACATTAGGTCCTAAGAAAAGAAACAAAAATAAAAATAAACAAAAAAGAGAGAAAGAGAGAGGGAGTGGGCCACTCCAATTTCGACTCCAATTAAGTAGTGGCTGACCCCAAACTTCCAAAACAAAGAAGAAAGCTAATAAAGAAAGGTGAAACAATACACTAAAAGCCTCCCATATGCAGGAAAATATTTAAAATTTGAAACTCAAATATTAAAATTTTATATTTAAATTTTAAATTTAAATCATGCATACAATATCAAGCTTTCCAGACATAGACTTTTCGATATGGACTACTTCAATTTTTCATATAGGATGAATTTCACTTGGTCTTTGACCTTAATTTTATGATGGGCTAACATGGTCTTCATTCATATCTTGAGCCTTTGATCTTGCTTTGTTAGTGGGGGGCATGATAATTCTCTGCTTGATGTTCTGCATTAGTTTTTATCATGCATAGTTTTGTGTGTGTTTGAATGTTTTCTATGCCTCATAATATATCTATTTTGGAATTCTCAGGAGCTAAAATCCTGCAGTAGTTTTTTTTAATATCGTATTTTGCAGATAAAAAAGCTTGATTTGTTATATTGGCTAGGTTTATATCAGTGTTCATACATTCATAAGCAACTTTTTCCTTGGATGCAGCATGTTTATTACTTGTTAAATGTTGTCCTCTTAGGTAGTTAAATTTCTGATAGTTTTTCTCCTGCCTGTTTTCTTAGTGATGTGAGATCAAAGGCTTTTCAGGCTGTCGATCAATTTCTGCAAATAGCAAGGCAAAACCATGAAAAGGTAACTTATTTCAAATTGCTTTTGTGGCGGGTGCTCACGTTGTATTGGCTTGAAGCATAAGGAGATCTGTTTTGAATTATTTATTTCGGACAGTATTTATCCCCTATCTATTTATTTTCTTAATGTTAAAACAGTTTCAATCTCATTCAATTTCATGTAGAAAGTTCTTTCTGCATTATAAAAGGCCTGACATGAAATGTTGTCTCTTCCTTGAACATATCTTGTGGATTTTAGTCCTTTATAATGTTGCTGTGGAATGTCCTCTTTAAGGTCTTTAGCACCAACGAACATTTTTGGTTTGGTTTCGTGGCTACTATTTTGTTTTTTTCTTTACTATAGCCATTCGTGGAGCCTAGAAGCATAATGGTTAAAATTGGACACCATTTATTTTATTGTTCACTTTGCATTCTGATCCTTTGCGTGCATATATGTTACGTTAAGTTGTGCATTATGTTATGCATCTGTGTTATCTAAGATGTTCTTCCTTTATAAATCAGGTCGTTTCCTTCAGATTTAGCAGGAGAGAGAAATTAACTGCTGAGGTTCAATTGAACTTGAGCTTATGAATGGAGGTTGGATATATTTCCATAGTCCTGCATCATTTTGACAATAAAAACAAACTCCTTTTTGTGTGCTCGTGTATGTACACTATTGCAATTAACATCATATTAGATGGATCCAAGTGTTGGATGATAAAAAAATTATAGATATTTTTTGTTGAGCGTAGAAATTAAAATGCTCCAATTGATATGTATTAATACTAGAAAGGATTTTTTATAAATTAATAAATGGAAGATAGTGGGTAACAAGTTTTGAAGATAAGGTAGTGAAAAATAGACTTGGGTGGTTTGGGCATATTTGTCAAAGGTTGGAAAATGGATTACTATGGTAGATAAAATTAATGTGTAAGAATTAGGAGGTTGTGGTAGATCCAAGGCAAATTGGAAAGGAGCTATGCTTAGTCATTTATACAAAGTTGATTTAACATTTCAAACAAAATTGACCATAATAGAGAATATGAATATCTAAATTTACCCCTAATTTGGTAAGCATTTCATCATGATAATTATGGTTATTATCAACTATAAGTTTAGTTTTCACCAATTAAAGCAAGGTTGCACAAGCCATAATGTTCCGATAGGAACAATGTATGAGGGCAAGATAGGAAGCTACTAGTTGGATTGTTGTTTTGAACATTGTGGGATGGGGCACGAGCTATTGTGTTGAGCAGTATATCACACTATAAATGGGCATATGCATTGAATTGTATGGCAGTCCTCCAACTATGATGTTTGAGTTGATGTTGGCAGACTCACATCAAAGAAATAAAGGATGCTTGGATTTGACCCGGTGCTCTGATGGTTTTGGGTTTCAAAGAAAATTGAAGTTGGGATTTAAACTTAAACATTTTGGTAGGAGGTTACACCCTTGCCGCTAAATCACCCGTGCATTATCTATTTGTTAACCTATTCTCATGATATATGATAAAAAGACTTACTTACATGCTTAATTTTTTTCCCCAAGTTAGTGCTTAATATAAACCCAATCTAAATGATGTGAATTAAAAATTTCTAGAGAAGAGACTTTCTTTCTTGCCCGAGTTCCTCTAAACTATAATAAATAATGTCATAATCCATTCATATTTCATAAATTATCTATAATTCATTCTTGAATATTTTGTCACAACAAAATTTTTATAGCTTGCCATGGGAAATTTGATTTTATATGCATCATATTACTGCAATTGGCTAAATATGCTGCTTGTTTATTTTCAAGGAGCCATATATCTGAAAATTCATTTCTTACCAAAACAACCTTATATATTTGAAACCCTTGCTCAAGGTTGCTTAAAATGTGAAACAAGGAGGTTCTCAGTTATTTATTTTTCCATCACTTTTTTCAACCTTGATAATATGAAAGCACGTGTCATCGGTTTATGGCAGTTTCTCATTTTTACTAGGGTCTCTACTTTCTAGTCATCAATAAGATAAATAATGCTATATGTTTGATTATTTAACATAGTCGAATATTGTGTGAACTTTCATTGAATCATGTGTGAACCTTGTTGAAACAATATTTGAACATGATGCGGACAAGGTTTTGAGTACTAGGTTTTAATAAGGTTTGAAGAAGATTTAGATAATATTCAAATAAAGTCCAAATATAGTTAGAACAATATTTGAGTATAGATGGATTATGGTTCGAATAAGGATAGAGCAATATTTTTAGCATGGTTCAAACATCGGTGAAAGATGGTTCAAATATTTTTTGAATATGATTCAAACATGGTATGATTATAGTTCAAATATAATTTAAGCATAGTTCGAATATGGTTGGAATAATATGTTTGAGCATGGTTTGAGTAATGTTTGTACAAATTTGGGGCAAATTTAAAATTTTTTTGAGCATATTTCTAATTTTATTTTAGCATGTTTCAAACATAATTTGGATTATTTTGTTTCTTCCTTATTATTTTTTATGAATTAACTTATTTGAATTGATTTACAATATATGAAAATGTTTACTTTAATCATACTTGTGCTGTTGCACAATGGTATTGTACTGCTCGAGCTACATATAGAGTTGGGATGTCATAGTTAAAGTGGCTAGAAAATTTATGGCAATGATTTCATTGGTAAGACTGATACATTTCTATTTAGTTGGACATTAATTCTACTGTTATGTGGTTATCTTGGCTTTACTTCATTAACTATTATGGAGGATGGTCGATTAATATGAGAATGAGATTTTGCATTGTGTTCAACATTAGAGCTATAAACATAACATTTGATTCAGTTGAGTTTGCTTTGATAATTGGATTAAAGGTTAAAGAATTTTTATCTGATGAGGAATTAAAAAGATGAGCACAAGCAGTACGATAATCAATAGCTAGTTGAATGGAGACAACTTTAAGAGGCAAACTTGGAGAAAGCATTCATGAAGTGCATTGAGAGGGATGATATGTGAAACTTAGGTTTATGCTACCTTGTAGACGAAAGGTTTATGCTACCTTTTAGATGATGTTCTCTTCAATGTTGATAAATTTAGATTTTTTACTTAGATTCTTTGCTTGATTGAAGATGAGAAAATATTTTTTGGATTCTCATAGGGTAAATTGTCATGGGAGGATGTTGAGACATGGATAAAGAAGGATATGTTGCATCATGGTCATTATTTTAAAGAATTTTTTCGAGTCAATACATTATCATTATAATGCTGAGCTTATGAAGCCATCCCAGGGGGAGGAAATGTGTGGAATTTCTTGGTTAGAAATCACTAAGATGGTTGAGCTGGAAGTCGAACAAGCAGATCATGGCCAAGAATTTTTTGTTACCCATGAAGTATTATGCAAATTATTAATATTGTTTAATTGTCAGTTTATGTGGTAGATTATTTTTGTAAATTAGCTCACAAGCCTTTATTAAAATATTTTTTTGTAGGTAAGTGTTTATTTTATAATATTGATACATAGAGCACATAAGATTATCTACAGATTCGTTACTCGTCTGTCTAAACATACTCCTCTGCCTATCCCAATCATAATTTTGAAAAAAAAAAATGCAGTGACCAACACATGTTTTTAGGAAAAAGTATGAGAGTTGAAAAATAATTAGTGACATGTTTGTCCATGCTCCCTTCAAAAGGGATGAGTAGCTTTTTGTTATTGTACAGGAGCTAAGGAGCAGCCAACATAGACTGAAAAATAAATAATTGAGGTTGGGGTAGAATTGGATGTTCTGATTAATCTTATTCAAAATTATATGCATAAGGAGAAGGAGATGGAGGATAAGAGGTTTTTATTGTTGACTCAACCATTCATTCTATTGAGGTTAGGGATGACTTGGAGATGGATAATGGTGGTGGAAATAGGGGATGTTTGTCATTCCCTTACTATTATATCCATGGATAAAACAACAGTGTTGGTAAATAGCCTATATTTTACTATTTTATGTAAGAGTAAGATAAAACCATTAGATTATAGGAGGCAAAAGAATAAGAAATATTTGATTTTACATATCACTGATTCATCAGGAAAAAGCCACAAGCTCATGGGTACATGCTCCATTGATAGTTTTAGCTCGGTTGTGAGGAGCAATTATCTTCCTCCAAATTTTTCGATTTCAGGATTGGCGGATAACTCCAAAGATAGAGAGATAGGAGTGGTTAGTGGAGCATAGTATGATTCAAATAGTTGAATACAATCACGAAATGACAAGAGAGTAAAATGAGAAATATTTTATTTTATTAATGTTTTGAGTTATGAATACTTGAATACATTCACTTTAACTTTATTTTATTTTTATGCAATACAAATTATTATTTTTTTAGCTAATGCATGAGCAAATACAATGCTCCCATAAATCCATGGATTTATCATCATTATTTTATATGAATTGTTTGATTGATATTATTGAGCGGCGATCACTACATGCAAAATATGTGCAATAAGGCAAAAAATAACACTTTCAAATGGTCTGAAGATGTTTGTCATTGGAGAGGAGAAAAAGTTTTTAAAATCATGGGTTGAAGTCTGACTCATATTATTTTCTGAACCGGAACAAGTACAATATCTGAGATCTCACTTTCTAAGAAAATTATGATGTGTGATTTTTGACCCCTTGTATACTTCAATACAGAACTTGTACACAACACGATTAGTTATGCCAACACTATTCCGAATCACTAAGCCAAAATTTCTCTCATCCGAAACTCTTATTTTAGTTTTATTCCCTCCTTATTATGCTACATTTCTTTCCTTCTTGAGTTATGTTTTCTTTGGTAAGTTCCAATTGTTGTAATTATTCATGTCCTAGCCGTTCCTTATTATATAAGGAGAAGAGTTATAATTTGATTATTGAAAAATAAGAGAATTGGATTTTCACCACCTTTATTCATTGTATTAGAGCCAAGTAACAAACTCCAGCTCTCCTTCCTCCACTGGAGACTCTCCTTGCAGCCGCCAGCCCCTACAGGCTCTCTGCTGGATCTTCTCCCTACAA